TGGATCTCAACAATAATTATTATATTATAATTCCCATCATCAGTTCACTGCAAAAAAAATAGTATTGAATCAAGAAAACCATTCCCTAATTTTCTTGGATCAAGAAAATATTTTATCAAATACGGAAAAATATATGGGTTTTCTTGAATTAATATTATGTTTTTCTATGTAATATCATATATATTTATTTTAAATATTCTGTGATTAATTAATCATTACAATAATTAATTTAATTATAATATTATTATTTAATCATTATTTTTAAATATATATATCTACCTATATTACAAAAAGATATCGCCGCCAACGCCGCTGTTCCAAGACTCTGAATATAGCCGCAAGTCACGACAAGGGTGACTTGCGGCTATATTCAGAGTCTTGAAACGATCTTAACCTTTAAATTTGGGGTGGGGGGAGGGGAAGAGAGGAGGGGGGATGGGGTTGGCGCGCGAAGCGCGCAGGGGGCATAGCCCCCTAGTAGATATATATATTTCTAAATTATAAATGATTTACAAATTAATTATTAATTAATTTAATTTTTAAATTAAACTTTAAATTGTTTTGTAGTAAAGTTAGCTTTAATAATTATATCAAATATATAATTAATTGAGGTTTATATTTATACAGTCTATTTATTTTACATTAGTTTAAAGAACCTAATTTTGGTTAATTATATATTAATTCTAGTTTCTGAAAATTGTTACACAATATAATATTCATACTAAAATTATTTAATAAAATAAATATTAAAAAATAGAATGATAAAAATATAACAAACTTTTTTTTAGGCAAAATATTTAATTATTCATAAATATACATTGAATAAAATATTTAATATATACCTGTAACATCAGTTCGTATTTAAAAAATGTTCATTGCCGGGTAAGAATTTTTTAATTTTTATTTAATCTAGTAACACTTCAAGAATGCATTTACAATCCAAAAATTCCATGCTAGTTTAGCGTAGTGGTTAGCGTGCGTGATTTCGGTGCGTAAATATTCGATTATAAGCGTAGGTTCGAACCCCCAAACGATAGGATTTTTCAAATGTGTACATAATAAAAAATATCAATAAGTGTATTTAATAATGTGTAAAGTGAACTATTGATAAATTTTCATTAAAATGTGTCTTTTGCAAATTAATTAATATTTTTTTATTCATATTTATTGAAAATATCATTTAATAATTTTTGATCTAAGGCGGTTGTCACGCAGTAGAATGCCAGCGCGCTCCTGGCCAAGTCACTTTTCGGTATAATGCCTGTACCGAGCCGGATGGCAGGCGGATCCCAGCCAGTACGATCATACCGACGTCGGTACTGGCTGGGATTCGCGCCAGTTGGAAATATCCGCCTGGGGAGGAGTAAAATATGACCGAAACAATATTTTATTATAGAAATAAGTCGGTCTTTTTTATTCATTTTCCTTAAGGGGCTCCAATTCACCCACCTTCCCCTCCCGTGCAGAAATTTCCACCCTTCTTCCCGATTTCCGACCTGGCCCCGGCCAGATTATCTGGTCCGGCCCCGGGTCAGTAAATGTTAGTGGCCCCGGTCGTGGCCAGGCCGGGTTGCCCCAATAATAAGATAAGTAAAAATAAATTTTTATAGAGGAGTGCAGAACTCAAGAAGGCTATAGAAACAGGAAGTACACGTTAGGTAGTGGGGGTACGTGACAATTTGGTTTTCTGAAATGGGCGGATAAGTTGCAAGACGCAGTAGCCTCCTGCGCATATTACGAACAGGTGATAATAAAAAAGCAGATATTTATTTTACCGAAGCATATATGTACGTATAGAATCAGTGTTAATATCTTATTCTGAATTACCGCCAGATGGTAAGTCAACAGTTAGTCTGCGCAGAAGGCTACCGCGACTTGCAACCGCCTATTTCAGAAAACCCTTTTTCTTACGTATTCGTACGGTACCTCCCATTTCTAGTCTTCTTGGCCTAACTTTTGTTTTATTTTGGATACATAAATTATTTATTTCTGTGAATAATATGCCAAAACACAAAAGTACGAAACGTGTACGGAAACATCGACTGTCAACTCAATTTTCATCTCTGCCGAATATATCAAGTCGTAAGTAAAAAATATTATTCACATGATATTACATTACCAAATAAAAAATAACCTAAAAATAGAGATTTTGTATTCTAACTTTATAAATATTGTTTTTATTTTTATAGTTTTACAAATGTTCTAGTAGTATTCCTTTGAAAAAATCCCGAATTGAAGTTAAAAATTCTTTTATTACATCTGACTTCTTATATATTCTTTTACATTTGTTATAATAATAATATGTATAAGTATGAATTTATCACTCGATCGAAATTAGTTTTATAAGAATGATCTTTCTTTCTTATATAATAATAATGATAACAACTATTTTCATGTACGTTAAACATAATTCTATGCCTTATAGCTTCAGATGATTCAAATCATGAAGATGCGAATGTTAATGAGAATATCAGCTCACAGCTAGGACAACAATATGATTCGCTTAGTTCCCATATGGAAGATTGTCTCACACCAGGCGACATTGATTCAAACTACGAAATTAATGAATCTGAAGACCAAATCAATATCCACTCTAAATTGTTAGGCAGATGACTACTGTATGGTTTACCATACCACAAACATTTGAATGGTGGTCAAATCGGGAAAAATTTGATGGCCCCGGTCGGGTCCCCAGCAGGGAACCAGATCGGGCCCCGAGCCATGGCCCCGGTCGGTTTTATTGTTTCATCCAGGCCGGGGGCAGGCCAGATTTCCCGAAGTGGCCCCGGTCTTGCCCGGTCTGGCCCTGGCCAGGGCCCGGTCAAAATTTCTGCACGGGCTACGTCAAAATTTTAAATTACTACAATATAAAATAGGTACATTAAAAATCTTACATAAGAGTTCATATAGTTAATCTCAGAATTTTTTTTATCGAAAATATGTAAAGCACTTTGGCTAAGATCGAGGGGGAATTTACTCAGGTAGTCAAGTGTACACTCTTCCTGTAATACTTGTGTAATAACGTGTAATACCGTGTAATAAAAAAAAATCTGTAATATCTCTGTAATAATGTGTAATACTCTGTAATAACGTGTAATAACTTAGTAATAAGGGTAATATGAGGTGTAATACCGGTAGTCAAGTGTACAGGTTTGTAACTAGTAAATTCCCCCTCGACTAAGATACTATTAACATTTGAATTCAAATATATAACTAAAAAGTTGACTGCCATATTAAAATACTTCTTTTTGCAGTGTAATCAAAAACTATATTAAAAATTCACTTAGAAAAACGGCTCTACTACTATGACAAAAAAAACCTGCTAAATTCCATTAAGTGAATTATTCTAAATTTTATAGAGATTCTGAGGAAAAAATCTTGTCACAATCGAAGTAACGTCTGTTTTAGAATCAACAACAAAATCTTATTTTACCAACTATATTCTTACAAGTAAACTAATTTCTCCAAAAAAATTTAATATATAAAGATTTTTAGGGTCGCTGATTACAAATCTGTGATCAGATTTCTAAAATTCAAAATGTCGGATATTAGATTATGAAACTTGGTATCTAGGTGTTTTTTGGGACGCACGAATTTGACTTTAGATTTACAAATGTGACATTTAATTCATGATCAAAGACCCAAAAAACTTTCAGATACAAAGTTTCATAAAAATAAAAAGATTCTTCTTATGAATCTGTCGGCTATTTTGGTTTTTTGGGTCGCTGATTACGAATCCAGTGTTAGTTTTTCAAAATTCAAAATAGCGGACCCAATATGGCGAATGAATTTTTAAAAATTCAAGGAATTCACTTGAAATTCGTTACTCGAACTCGCTGTTTACAAATTTGGTATCAAGGACCCCAAGAAACCACCGAGTAACGAGTTTCAAGCAAATTTGTTGGACATATTGGGTCCGCCATTTTGAATTTAGAAAAACTAACAGTGGATTCATAATCAGCGACCCCAAAAGCCCCCGAGGAAGGTATTTCAAGTGAATTTTATGCTTTTTGATTAGGAAAATTATGTATTTTGATAATGGACCAAAATAATACAAAATGACGAATATTTTCTAAACTTGATCAGATTTCGAAAAATGGCTAACACCATTGAATTCAACATACCCAAATTAGGTTAATACACCATATGGACGGTTTTGTTAAAAAAATTACCTTATTCAAGCCCAGTGAAATCAGTGATATATGACTGATTTTCAGTGAAAATTTTACTAAATGATTCAGTAACCGACTTCTGTCTATTTACCAGTGAAATTTCTGATTCAAATTAAGAGAGTAGAGATTATTTTTTGTTTTCAGCATATCTTTAATTTAAAGAAATCTCTATTAATTTACAAAAACTATTTTCCATAATGCAAATAAGAAATCCTCCTCAAAAGTCAGAAGTTTTAATAAGTAATTCATAAAAATTAGCTTTATGACAAAAGTCACAAAAAAAAAAAATGACAAAAGCTCCAAATATACCTATATATATACTGATGCTGTGTAGAATAAAGAAAGAAGAAGCCAATTTGAATAAAAGAGAAAAATGTCGTCGCGCAGACAGGCCGAAAGAAAAAATCTGCTGAAAGAGAGAGAGAGAGAGAGAGGGAGACATCTGACAAGGTATAGATGCGAGAAGAGAAGGAAGACGCGCGAGTTTGCAAGACTCTATAGGAATTGGGAAGCGCTCGGAGGAACCGTTTCTGATCTCAAGCTATATATACACATCTATATAGATACGCTTTACTCGAAGCAGAGGAGTAATATTTCCCGGGATGTAAGCTCCGGAGAATTTCGCATCACCCCTCCCCTCCCCCTTTCACCATGCAACCAATTCCTTACCATCCCCACCTCACCCTTTCTCCTTTAGAATTTCCACCTTCCCCGCGTCAACGAAGGGATGCAAATAACGGGTGATAACAACAGACAACTCGAAGAGAGAGTGAGAGAGAGAGAACTCTGGTTTGTGTGCGTTTAAAAGTAGGATGGGAATATCTCTACCTCTGTAAAGCCTTCACTCTCTTTCCCCTTATTCACTGTCAAAGCATTCACTACAACCACCACCAAGATTCGAATAGGCACACCGAGGGGGGGGGGACAGTGGGAGGAGGAGGAGGGATGACAACGCAATGGGTGGTTGGTTAACTGGGGGACTCACGGAGAAAAGAGAGAAGGAGGATGAGGATGATGACTAGTGGGGTAAAAGATCGGGTAGTGGTGGTGGTGGTTTAGTAGAAAGGAGATGGGTTTAGCAAAGGGGTAGAATGGGGCTAGGGGGGTGGGTGAGGGTGAGAACGTCACTCGCTGTCGCATCGAGCGAGAGCGATGAGTGGCGCGCGCTCTCGCTCGTCTTTTGTTTGCAATGCGACTGCCATCCACCAGTATGACTGCAATGGGGGAGGTAGGGGGGGGGAGTGGTAATCTGTGAGGGTATGGGATTGGGGGGGTAGTTGCGAGCCGTGTGATGGAGGAGGGGGGGTTGACGGGAAAGAGAAGGTTTGGTGAAATTGGGAGAGGAGAAGGGCGGGGGGAGGGGGGGGGTGTTGAAAAGGGTGCTCTACAACTTTTGCATGGTTGGGGAATAGAAATGGTTGGTTAGAAATAAGAGGAAGTGATGGGGTGATAATCACAGGAGCCACATTACGTTTAACGCAATTCTCGTGCGCACGTTTATATATAAAGCGATTCGTATGTATATATATATATACATATGTATACGTATCTGTATGGATATATATATATATAAGCAATGATGAGTTCATCTTCCATACAAAAAAAAGTAAAAATTTTACGCAAAAAAAAAAAATTTAGTCTACTTCAATGATAATCGAATTAAGTTTTTTATTTGAAATATAAGGGCAAAACGATTTCATGTTGCACTCCTGATTTAAACGATTTTTTGTTTATTGGTATCAAAAGTTTTGGATTGATGTTTAATTACTTTTGGTAAGTACCTAATAGTGGGCTAAAAATCGCATATTCATTCTAAAAACTTTTTAAGATCGTTTTTGGAAAGAACATGGTTTTTTGCCAACTGGGTATTATTGCGAGGCTTTTCGAAATTTGTTTCTGAGTCAATCAGTTTTTATCCGCATCTTTCGTTAGATTTTCTCTAACACGTCAAATTTCAAAATGGCGAATTCAAAATGGCGGGGGGAAAAAAAATTAAAAATCAATAGCATTCGCTTGAAACATGTTACTCGGGGATTTTCGAGGTTGCTGATGACGAATATAAAGTCAGATTTTAAAAACTCAAAATGACTGATCCAATATAGTGGCCGAAAAAATAAAAAATCAATTTAATTAACTTGAAACTTGTTACTAGGGGATTTTTGGGGTCTCTAATTACGAATATGAAGTCAAATTTTACAAATTCGAAATAATAAGTCTCAAGCAAATCCGTTTGAATTTTAATATTTTCGTTCGCCATATTGGATCCGCCATTATGAATTTTTAAAACCTGATTTCAAATTCGTAATCAGCAACCCCAAAAACCTTTAAGTAAGTTCCAATTTTTTTTCTAAGTAATTTTTTATTTTTAGTATCTATTGTTTAAAGTAGCGAAAAATAAAAATTTGCAATTATCTCAAAAACTTAACGTGTAGTGAAAAAACGGACTGCTATTTCAAATTCAGCGTTAAAATTTATCTTAGAAATAGATTTTCGTTACTCGGGTCCAAAACCTTGTAAACCTGTGTAATTATTTAAAAATGGAAATTGTTTTCCTGGGAGGTCATTTTGAAATGGAATGCCTTCTATACTTTATTTGGATTTTTGAAATTTTTTTTTTTTGAGAATGGTAATACTTTGATATGCCTATATATAATGTTATATGATGAAAATCTAAAGATGTAAAGCTGAGAGAAAATGACAGAGAGTTTGCTGTATATATATATATATGAAGTGGGTTGAGGAGATGCAAGGTTTTGGATGTACATATTTGAAAAGCGCACGCGTTATACGCGCTTGTGCAACGGGGCGTGAATACTCTTCACGCTTAACAGTGTGAAGTATATATGAAGTATATATATATATATATATAGCGACAGTGCTCTCTCTCGTGTCACAGGTTTGGTGTTGATAAGAAGGACAATGACATATATACATAGTATATGCATTCTAAAACAGTTTGGCTCAATTTGACAAGAATTTTTTTTATTTTTTTTCATAAAAAAATTTTTAAATTTAAGAATTAAGAAGCAATTTTGTTTATTACCCAAGAATATATACTTGGTACTTAAATTTCAGAATGTTTTTTTTTCTCGATTAATATGTTTCTTTTTGGCAGTGAATTCTTCGAAATTGAAATTGAAATGAAGAAATTATTATAATGATATAAAAAAATTAACTAAATCCTAAAAAAAATTGCAAAATACTAATAAAATCTTATTTTTAAGTTTTTGAATGGTTTTCAAGTATTAGGCAGAATTCTAAAGTTATATATACCTAAAGTTTGCTTTGTCGCATTTGAGATATAAAGTTATTACACGTTATGCTATACTCAAAGTTTGAATCAATTTCTAAGAAAATTTTATCAAACTATTTGGGACACGATTTCAGTAAGATTATTATAATTGAGATATAGTTATACATTCTGTGGACAATATTCAAAATTAAGAATATCAGTAGTAAAACCTAGTTTTAGTCAGACTTTCTTTTAATTTTCTAGAAACAGTGGTATGGTAAAATTTTCACTTTCACAATATTTTTAAATATTTTTTATATAATATAATGAAAGTCTATTCTTAAACAAAAAAAATTTTAATAAGTGGGGCCATTCAAGTATTACGTAAGAATATTTTTAAGGGTTTTGGACCTCCCCCAAATAAGCATATTGTAATGGAAAAAGTAAGAATTTTGTGTGGTACGTAAGCAACTGAGGAACCCCCTCCTCCCCCTTAGATACTTACGTAAAACTTGAATGACCCCAGTGACTTTTTTAAATGATTTTTAAAAATAAAAATTTCGACTGGATTTTAATCGGATATATGCTTTTTGCGAAAATCGAGAAAGTGACAAAAGCCGACTGAGATAACTTTTGGTCTCCAGCAGGACGAAGTAAGTTTGAGATGACGGAGCAGGGTCAAAGGATAACACGGGTCTCGACCGCAGTTGCCTTTGACACTAATACGTTTATACGATCGCTTGGCCTCTCGTTTCTCAAAACTTATATAATGCTCTATTCTATATACACAAATGTATCAACGAAAATTTATTAAAATTATATATGTTACAATAACAATATTCCCTTTACCAATGCCCTACTTAGGAAAAACTTATCAAGACCTTGTCAGTTTTCCTTTATATCGCCCTATTTTTTGTGAGATTACTTTTATTTTAAATTTAAATAAAAGTTTCTGGAATTTTTTTTATTTGTAACTCATATTACTCATATAACTCATATATATTAACTCATAAAATTTTGAAAAATTTCAGATACATGGGGGATCGAACCCAGGATCCTTGGGACGCGAAGCGTGTATACTTTGAGCACACAACAAATTTATTTGATTCAAATAATCGGTTACTTGAAAATTAGATATCAAATAAATATTTATTTGTATTAAATAATTATCATTTGAATCATATTCAAATGTAAAAATTATTGGTTTAAATACAGTACTTATTTATTTGTGTCAAGTAACTGATTATTATTTTAATCCAACAATTTTTTTTGCAATGTAAAAGAAGAGATTTTTAAAAAAACTAGAACTACAGTTTTTTAAAAAAAATAAGAAAAAGAATATGTACTTTTTATTTTTCTCCAATGGTGGGACTGTAGTTATATATATATATATATATATATATATATATATATATATATATATATATATATGCATACAAGGACATTATTCAGAACAATGAAATGTCTCGGTAAGTTATCCTCCCAAGTTTCCGAACTTGGTACAACTTTAATTAAATATCTCTTGCAAAGACGAAACGAACGAAGATAATACTAGTTTGATTGTCTTTACTGAGTTCCTGGCAGAATCTGAAATGAATAATAGTCACGCTCGATAATTACTGCATGCTTCGAACCCTCCATCGACTTTTGCAATTTGATGAGCTTTTAATTCTTATTCCAATTATACATAGATTATATAATATATATATATATATATATATATATATATCAAGTGTTTACTTTTTCAAGTTGATTCAGCTCAGACAAAAATCACAATTTTTATATAATTTTAATAAACAAGGGCTTATTTTATTTATACTAAGACATTCTTCACAATCGCTTATATTTTTAAATTGTTAAAAGTAAGTTGTACAAAAATTATTTACTAATTAAAATTTCAATTGTTTATAATTTTTAACAATTTACTTGTAACAATTTAAAAATATAAGCGATTGTGAAGAATGTCTTACTATAAATAAAATAAGCCCTTGTTTATTAAAATTAGATAAAAATTGTGATTTTTGTCTGAGCTGAAAGAAAAAAAAAACATTAAAATGTTACACGGAGAAAAGAAAGTAGTCGATGATACTCAGTCCTGAGCAGGGTTGCGTGCCTGAGCTGGGTCCCTCGGACCCAGACAATTCGCTTTTTCATCTATATTTCTATTTAAGAAAATTTGTTTTCAAAATCCTTATCAAATTGGATAAGCTGATGCTATAACGTACATTTAAAAAAAGAAATAAGAGAATTTTTTTTATGTAAAACTCTTTCTAATACATTATTTTATAGCTCTTATGTACGTAGTTGCCTAAGCTGGGTCCCTCGGAACCAGACAACTTTTTTTTTCATGTACTTTAACATATTCGCTTGAAAACCTTTAATCGGGGGATTTTGGGGGTCGCTGATTACGAATTCGGTGTCTGTTTTTCAAAATTCAAAATGGCCGATCCAATATGACGGAAGAATTAAAAAAAATCGTTCGGTATCGCTTGAAAATCGTTACCCGGGGGTTTTTGAAGTCGCTGAATACAAATTTGATGTTACTTTTTCAAAATTTAGAATGGCGGAACCAATATGGCGGATATATTTTTTTTAATTTGACGGTTTTTCTTGAAACTCGTTGTTATTCAGGAGTTTTCAAGGTCGCTCATTACTAATCTGATATTAGTTAATTGTATTGATTTTTAATTTTCCTGTCCGCTATATTGGATCCGCCATTTTGAATTTTGAAAAACTGACTTTAAATTTGCAATCAGCGACCCCAAAAATCCCTGAGTAACGATTTTCAAGCAAATATGTTTAATTTTTGAAAATTCGTCCTCCATATTGGATCCGCCATTTTGAATTAACCAAGTCTGACGTATGATTTGTAATCAGGCACGCACGTCAAAAAATGAACTCAGGCACGTGAGGGTTAAAAAGACACAGAAAAAATTGTCTCCTTCGAGAAAACAATCCAGATGATGATACT